ACACTAGCAGAAATAGATTCATCAACCAAAGAAAATTTTAAGTCCAACAAATCCCTAACACAAAATATCCAGGAATTATGGGATACTGTGAAAAGACCAAACCTAAGAATAATAGGTATAGAAGAAGGTGAAGAAATCCAACTCAAAGGTGCAGAAAACATATCAACAAAATTATAGAAGAAAACTTTCCCAACCTAAAGAAAGACATGCCAATGAAAATACAAGAAGTCTACAGAAGACCAAATAGACTGAACCAAAAAAAAGGTCTCCTCGCCACATAATAATCAAAACACCAAACATACACAACAAAGAGAAAATATTGAGAGCAGTAAAGGAAAATGGTCAAGTAACCTATAAAGGCAAACCTACCAGAATTACACCTGACTTTTCCATGGAAACTCTGAAAGCCAGAAGGTCCTGGATAAATATTCTACCTACACCAAGAGACCATGGATGACAGCCCGGACTACTATACCCAGAAAAGCTTTCAATCATTTGTAGATGGAGAAAACAAGATATTCCATTACAAAACTAGATTCAAACAATACGTATCCACCAATCCAGCTCTATAGAAAGTTCTGGAAAGAAAACTGCAACCCAAGGAAGTTAACTACAACCAGAAAATTATAGGTAATAGATAAATCCACTTTACCAACAGCCAAAAGGAAAAAGGGATAGAATCCCACACATACTCTCGCCACCATCACCAAATCAAAAACAAACAAGAATGAATGATCAATGGTCATTAATATCCATCAACATTAATGGTCTTAACACCCCTATAAAAAGACACAGATTAGCAGAATGGATAAGAAGGCAGAATCCTTCCTTCTGCTGCATACAAGAATCACACCTCAACTTCAAAGACAGACGGTGCCTAAGAATTAAAGGTTGGGGAAAGATCTTCCAATCAAATGGACCCAAGATACAAGCAATCCTAATATCCAACAAATTGGACTTTAAACTAAAATCAGTCAAAAGAGATGAACAAGGTCACTTCCTACTCCTCACAAGAGAAATCCATCAGGATGAAGTATCAATTCTGAACATTTATGCCCCAAATACAAAGGCATCCACTTTTGTAAAAGAAATATTACTAAAACCCAAATCACACATAAAACTGCACACACTAAAAGTGGCAGATTTTCACACCCCACTCTCACCACTGGACAGCAACACCAGACAGAAACTTAACAAAGAAACAAAAGAACTAATAGAAGTTATGGGCCAATTGGACTTAACAGATCTCTATAGAACATTCCATCCAAAAACAAAAAAAAAAAAAAATACCTTCTTCTCAGCGCCACATGGAACCTTCTCTAAAATCGACCACATACTTGGCAACATAGCAAACCTCAACAGGTACAAAAAATTGAAATAACCCCCTGTGTCTTATCAAACCACCATGCTTTAAAATTAGAATTCAACAACAACATGAACTACAGAAAACCTACAAACGCATGGAAATTAAGTAACACCCAATTGCACAATTCATGGGTCCAGAAAGAAATAAAAAA